CAACAAGAATATTTCTGCACTAAAATATTCCGGGCTAAAAGATCAGAACGCCAGATTTTTAAACCTAGAAATGTTAAACAGATGATTTTGACTAAAAATTCACCTCTGATATATAAAAGAAAAAATAACAAATAATATATATTCTACTGTTTCAAAGAAAATGTATATCTGATTAAAAAATTACATTTTGCAAATTATGTTAAACCGAAAGAAATAAACCCTGGAAAAATACAATACATACAATATTGCAATAACTGCAAAAGGACATACAAATTATACACATATTTAATTTTATCCTGGATGGCATGAGAAAATAAATCTAGGATACTTTAGCTTTCCTAATACAAGCTTGTAAATGCATCTACACAGAAATGTGTACAGATCTATTAACTCTCATCTGAAAGACCAAAGTTTCCAAACATGAATTTTTCAGGATTTTAAGGAAAATGTTAATAATAAACCAACTCTGGGAGACAATTATTAGTTTTCAGCAACAAATGTTGGCACTGTAAACCTAACAGATTAAATTTCCTGATTAGGTAAGTTTTATGACTCATCAGGCATATGCCTGTCTGTTTAAAATAAATAAGTTTTTGGCAAGAAAAGTCAAAACTAAAGTAGTCCTTTGGCAGAAACTGCTGTTCAGGTGTAAAGCCTTAGACCTACTAGGCCGATGTTCTTCAATCTTTCACACCTGTGGATGGCTAGAACAGGGCAAATTGTTTCATAGACAAACTAGCTTTTCTGGCCACCTCGACCATTGTCACATCATGCTGTTGTAGAGTTTCTCTGATGTTATCTTTCCATCTTGTTCTTGGTCTACCTCAGGAACTAAGTCCTTCTCCTCTTTTTGTGTATGCCTTTATTCATGTGTTTTCAGTATTGATGAGAAATATTTTTCAGGCCCATCGTAAATTCACCAAAGCCCTGCTGGCCACGATGTTTCAGACTGACCCAGGATGGCCTTCATGACAGCCGTAGTGGTCCCGTAGAAGAAAGCTGCACCATATATGGACATTACTTGTGAAAATATGGAAGCTGAAAATTCAAAATACTTTCTATATCACAGCCTTTGTCCTGGTCATGTAGGAAACTACAGATGGCTTAATTGTGAATAGAGAAGTTGCAGTGCATCAAGGGTATATATAATAGTGGGTTAATTTTCTATGGAGAAAATACAATACATTACAGATATCATAATTACAATCTGATCATGGCAAGCTGGAACATTTCTCAGTTCTCTGCCAACTCCTATGAATCATGTATCAGGGTATGTCTGACTTCCTGCATCTTCTTCTTCTATATGAAGTCATTAGAATGCCTCAAGGCATATGTTGAGATTTCCCCCTACTTTTTATCTCTTAAATGACTTTCATCTCCCATTGGAGCATAGGCTATTAGTCTACTCACACCAAGACCTTTGTAGACGTCTTCACAACTGTTTGCATTCTGCAGCTAATTCTATGAAATGAGTTAGCCAGTTTTATGCCAACCCTCCTTAACATCCTCTTAACCCTATCACCCAGAGAAGCTGCAAAACCTACTCTTCTGTTTGTGGCCAGTTCCCTATAAATGTCTTTTTTTTTTACTTATCTACAGTGACTTATTTATGGGAGGTATAGATAATGCTATTGGCTGAGTTCACCCTTGCTTAAACATTTTTTTTAGGTCAGGCAGGATGTGAATATATCAGCAAACAATTTTCTTGGGTGGGGGGGGGGGGGGGGGGGGGGGGGCCTTCAAATCAAATGTTTTTTTTTTAAAAACTCAGACTGATGTCAAATTTTCCCCAAAGCCTCTGTGATTTGTGTATGAGAAACAATATGTTCTTATTATTTTAACAAAACTAGAATTGCAATTAAAAAAAAAACACCCCAAAAAATGTCTGTAACATCTAAAAAATGTAGGTTTACTGCAGAGCAACTAATGTTTTCTTAGGGCATACTACATTGTCATGCTCCAGTTTCTTCCACAGTGCAACTCTCATACACTGTGATGAAAACCATGAGAATGATCTCTTTCTAAACCTTCATGGAATTGCGCCCAGCTGCACTGAAAACTGGACTGTTAAATGATTTAACTAACCTCAAAGCCACAAACAGAATGACCATAGTGCTAAATTTATTGTAGCATTTATATAACTTATTCTCAGAAAAATGTACAATGTTTGGAAACTTGGATCAGGTATGCTTATAAAGACAAGACACAAAATAACGTACATATTTTCAGGTGAAGAGATCAAGGTATCAGGAACAACACTGGTTAAACTGAAGGAATATTAAAAATGTGGAACAATGTGCAGGGGCTAGTGTACATGTTGCCAGTCAAGAGGTCATATATTCCAATCCACTTGAGATTTATTGTTTTTTTATTTTAATGTACCTGTGCTTCCAAACTAAAAAAGTGGGTACCAGGAAATGTGTAGGGAGGTAAAGATCACCTGCACATATTAACCACATCACAAACTAAGTGTCAGTATGTCATAAATAAAGGTCCAACTCTACATTCTCAATAATTCTCAAAGCACGGAAAAAGAGTTAATAATTTTGTTTCTTCAAAACAAAAGTGCTATTGGCTGCTTTTGTTAAATATTTATATCCATGTATTTAAACAGGCCAAATCCCCCCAGTCTTAAACATAATTTGTTATCCTTTAAAAATATAGACGTTTTTTACTGCATTATTAAACAGAATGTCTCACATTTCTGTTTCAAGTGCAACATTTAAATACAACATACATGATTTCATTTCCAGTGTGTATCAAACATTCTGAATAAGTGTTGTTTAGACCAGTGTTTCCCAAACATTTTACACCTATAGCCCACCTTCTTCTTCTTCTTCGCGTTCACCAGCTGTACACTTTGGTGGAAAGTTCTGGTTGTTCGTCCACTTCTGAACTGCAGTCCTGCTCCAGAACCTGAGGATATTGTTTCACAGCCCATCAGACAGATCATTATTAAATCCTATAACCCGCGTGTGGGTTCCGAGGTCCCATTGTGGGGAAAACAAGAATAGACCCACTGCCTCCCCAAAAGCATGTCGTAAGAGTCGACTAATTGGGAAGCTTCCTTTGAAGTCAGAGTGCATCTGCCAGAGAGGCAAGGAACCAACGGTCTGTATTCAAGAGAATGAGATCTATAAAACTGATGCACATGCAACACTCAGGTTCTGGAGCAGGACTGCAGTTCAGTAGTGGACGAGCAACAAGAACTTTCCACCAGAGTGTACAGCTGGTGAACGTGAAGAAGAAGAAGAAGATTAAATCCTATGTCACATAATAATAATTTTCAGTGAATATGACATCTGCGCTGCTCAGAGGTTGTATATACCAGGGTGCAAGTGTTGATTCTGATAGATGAAGTGCTGCAGTAACATTCACTTGACTTCTCTGTTGTATTTTTTATTACTGACATGGTTGAAAAAGTGTTTTCACATAAATAGGAAGTCAAAAAAAAAAAAAAAAAAAACATTCTGATAGCTTTGTAACTCAAATATGGATTTTTTTTAAAAAAAGTTATCTAAAACTCAGTGTTAGCTTTTCTTGTTTATAATAATAAAGTGCACATGATTTTATATCTTCCTAGAAGGGATTTTTGTAATGTGATCTTCAATAGCTATGAAAGTTTTCAGCTAATATCTTTAAATGCTGAACTTCTTAACACTTGTGTCTGCTTGATTGTCACTCTTGAGGTGTTAATCATTACCCTTCCTACCCCGCTTCATGATCAGGCAAAAATGGTTGGCAGTCAAACCTGGACTTTTCCACGACCTACCCAGACTTTTCCACTACCAACCTGGACTTTTCCATGGCGCACCTGGACTTTTCCACTACCAACCTGGACTTTTCCACTACCAACCTGGACTTTTCCATGGCGCACCTGGACTTTTCCACTACCAACCTGGACTTTTCCTGACCCACCTGGACTTTTCCACTACTAACCTGGACTTTTCCACAGCCCACCTGGACTTTTCCATGGCCCAACTGGACTTTTCCATGGCCCAACTGGACTTTTCCATTACCCACCTGGACTTTTCCATGACCCATAGGTTTAAGAACACTGGTTTAGATCATTTCTTATATGTCTTTAATTTAGTTAACACACACACTCTCACATGAACAGTCTGTAAATTAGCCAACTGCACACACAAAACCCACAAATGCATTCACATACATCTACACACACGTACAAACATGTGCATCAGTTTGTTTAGCTTTAATCATTGTTAAAGAAAAGTATTATCATACTGTTTTTTGGTAAGTTTAGTTTAATCAACCCATTTACCTATGATACTGTGTAACTTTAGTCAATACAACACATGTCTTTTTCAAACAGTATGTGTAACTTTAGTCAATACAACACATGTCTTTTTCAAACAGTATGTGTAACTTTAGTCAATACAACACATGTCTTTTCAAACAGTATGTGTAACTTTAGTCATACAACACGTGTCTATTTGAACAGTATGTGTAACTTTAGTCATACAACACGTGTCTATTTGAACAGTATGTGTAACTTTAGTCATACAACACGTGTCTATTTGAACAGTATGTGTAACTTTAGTCATACAACACGTGTCTATTTGAACAGTATGTGTAACTTTAGTCATACAACACGTGTCTATTTGAACAGTATGTGTAACTTTATCTATTCCTAGTAGTAGTTTTTAATCAACATCATGCTCAGCCTTTCTAGATTATATGGGATGTAACTTTATCCTATCACAAGCGTGCTCAACAGTCTGTGCAGCTGAAATCTTTTGCACATACAAGTGTGTTCAACATCGCACACAGTTTTATTCCATTCTGTGGTGTATTCACCTACCTCAAAATCTAAATAAGTTATTCACAACCGATTAGATCAATCACTTTAAAGAGTCTGTGTAAATATAGTCCAACATGCAAGTGGTTATCCATCATCCATAGCACTTGAAGCGAATCAATTCAGTCCCACAGTCACAAATCTAAAATGCACCAACTGATGTTATATCACAGATGAAGTCTCACTTCTTTTTGCCATCTTTAGAAGAAGACTTAGAAGATTTTGGAGTCTGCTTGCTGGATGAGGTTGAAGATGTTGAAGATGATGCAGACGAAGACGGTGCCTGTTTACCCCCAATAGCACCAAGACCACCTCCAAGACCTCCCAGAAGTTTCTGGAATTCTGTAAATCAAGAAAACACAATTTGTCAGCTAAACTTTACAAGACAACAGTCACGACTGACAGAATGGGCACTTTAGCTGGGAGGACAACCTCTGTAAGCACATACATACAAAAAGACAGAAATAAAGCAAATTAAATCATGTGGACACAAACAATACATAGTACAATTTATTGCCAAACATATTTCACTGTATCTTATCCGGTCCATTGCTAAAAAGTTACATCAACATATAATAAAGCACAAAACTGAATAAATCAACTGAAATACAAATGATCTCTCTTGATCTATTGCTGGTCTAATCATGGGAAGTTCACCATAGTCCTGTGACTAAACAGGGTGACTTTGGTGAACTTCCGGCAATTAGACTAACAATAAATCCAGAGAGATCGTTTGTATTTCAGTAGAATTAAGGTAGGCAGTTGTACCCCACCAGGACATCACACAAGCGATAAACACCCGATGACACAAAGTGTCACCATATGGATGGGAATCACCAGTGGAGAGGTCAGAGAAACCCCTTTCAGCCGTTAGGCCAGATCTATGGTGAGGCCATATTTATGACCTGGTTATATTCAGGGACCCTGGCAGAAGCCAGGGTGGGACTTCAAACAAAAATTGCATCACTCATGGGGACGACTTTTACTAGTAGAATTTATTCTGGTTTTTTTTCTTTGCTGCTTTATTATATGTCGCTATAACTCTGTAGTGCAGTGTATTGTTTGTGTCTGCATTATTTAACTTCACTACAGGAAAACATTATTTTAAATAAAACAATATTAAACTACAAAAACAACTTAACCCTACCAGACCGCTGGCCCAAATTTTCGGCTATTTGCATAGTGCGTGAAAAAGATGTGTCACGGACTAAAAATAACTAGTCAATCGTAATCAGACCTCGTAGATAGTCTTCCTAGATGTCCGCCCTCGTGTTTAGATAAAATTTGTTGTTTTCCGTAAAAAAATTATGAAAATTCACAATAAAATGAGCGGCTGATGAACCAAGCACTTCGACAGGAAAGTAAAGTAGGTCTAGGCTTTTCACAGTCCAACAAGTGATCGATACTTCGCTTTATTCAGACTCTGCGGAGTCATTATTTCATGAAGAATATGTTCACAGTTGAAGTGACACATTCTGCTCAAATAATGAAAGAATCTTGAAAATTATAAATCTAGAAATAGATCGATAGTAAAAGAAGGGGGCTTGTCCCTCAAAAAACATCTGATGCTCACTTTGTGAAACAATCCTGATCCTCCTGAGTGGATTGGCACACAAAGGTGGTATATTGGCAATAGATAAAAGATAAACCTATTTTCTACAATGTCTCTAAGTTTAATCTTATTCTAGCCACTTGTTTGCATGCAACTAATATTTGTGTTTATCATGTTGGTTTTTTAGCGTCAATGCCCAAGAGCTCAGGTATAGAAGACAGTTAGGTTCAGGGCCTCAGGTCTGGTATTATTAACTTTAAAGTATGGGAACCTGGAGATGTCCAATTACTTAAATATAAAATTCAAACTGTGCCATAAGTTTCACAGGTCAATTGGTAGGAAGGGAAGTAAGTAAAAGTAGAATAAGTGTTGGAGGATGATAGAGAAGATAATGAATCAGAAACAGAAAAGGAAGAATAATATTCTTTTAGGGAAGAGGCATAAATAATGAAATATAATCCTAAGAACACTAATATGCAGTGTACTTTGAAGAGACCTTTATGTGATCTATATGTGATCCCTATAAGAAAGGGGAAGAAAGATCAATCTGTATAGGGAGGGCACGATGAGACGGGCAGACAAACATCAATCTGTATAGGGAGGGCACAAAGAGATGGGCAGACAAACATCAATCTGAATAGGGAGGGCACGATGAGACGGGCAGACAAACATCAATCTGTATAGGGAGAGCACGATGAAATGGGCAGACAACCAAGAAAGGGGAAGGTAAGCCAGTAAAGTGAAGGAAACTTTTCACATCAGTGGAGCATCCCACTTGAAATACTAGACTCATTTCTGTATAAACAAATCTGCGTGAGGGCTGATAGAATGAAATGGCTAGGGGAAAACCGAGAGAATGTCTGAAGCCAGTCCCAGTATGAGATGTAATTAAAAAAAAATTATTTTAATGCCCGTCCCGCTGTTATTGGGGGGTCTAATATAACCCAAAAGTTGGACCAGGTTTCGGGACTTGCATCAAGCAGGTAGAGTAGGGAAGGGGATGGACTTCTCATCCGAATGACTTTGTGTCACGGGTGTTGATCTCTAGTTGTGTGGTCCTGATGGGGTTGAATGCTACTCACTAGAGAATGGCAACAGAGAGGTAAAAACTGTATATACAAGGGAAATGAATGATTGCATTAAGATGATGGAAAGATAATATCCAGATAGACTTACAAACACTTGGTGTCACCAACTGGAAAGAGAAGGCCACCCAGAGAGATGAATGGAGGCGGGTGATATTTGCAGCAGTGAACGTTAAGGGCTTGGAATGCTGAAGAAGAATCGGTATTTCATAGGTCATATGGGCAGCATGCCATTACTTGATGTGGTACCCAGTTTATATTGGGTCAATCTGGAAATGAAGATCACTTTTTTAGAAAATGACCTAATGCAGATTTGAACCCAAGACCTTTGGATCAGCAAGCCAAACCTAAAGAGGAGGGTACACAACTGGAAAAGTAGCAATGAGAGGAGAGTGAAGATGAAAAATATTTGATTTGAAAAAAAAAAAGGTTTCTTTTGTAAACGAAACTGTCATTTTTTTGTTTTGTTTTGTTATAATATTAAAAACTATGTCATCAGCGTAATATAGGCATTCAAATTCTTCTTCCTCATGTCATAGCTGATTTATCTTTTACAGACCTTATAATATTCTTGCTGTATGGAAAACCTAGATCTTGAGATTTTATGGCTGTGTTTTATGGCCTGTTTCATGTGAAAAGACAACCAGATTTGACCATCCATACATGGAGACAGATACTGTCTGCAGCCACTTAACTTTTATAACGCTTACATCATTTCCATAAAAATCTATAGTTGCCATCATTTTTTATTTCTGCCTGATGTACTTTATCAAATTGTTTGGAATAATCTATAAAACCCCTTAAACAATGCTATCAGCATTTTAGTGCACTGTGCATTAATGTTCTTAGGATTATATAGCATTGTTTATGCCTCCTCCCTAAAAGAATCCCGTTATTTCTCTTCTTTTTCTGATTTAAAACAAATATTGATCTACAATGTTTTATCTGTCATAAGATTGTTTGCTCGTGGTGGGGGGATTTATGTTTCTTAATTACCCGGACAGCTACGCCAGTAGGCCCTCTAAAACGAGACAGGTCAAAGTGGAGAACAGAAACAGACAGCCTGGTCATCCAGGTTAAAGGGGGTTGTGGGGTGGGGGGGGGGGGGGAAGGTGGGGAGGGGGGCAACACACTCTTCTTTGTCAGAAAACAGGTTTCTAAGTCTCAGATTCACATGCATTTGAATGGGAAACAGCCCTGGATTTTTAAAGAACTTTTGATATAAGGAAATTTGAAACAATGAAGGAAAAGAAGCAGAAGGTGATGATGACGAAGAAGAAGAAGTAGAAGGTGATGATGAAAAAAAAAAGAAGCAGCAGCAGCAGTGGAGTCAGAGAAGGAGAAGGAGAAGGAAGGAGAAAAAGGAGGATGAAGGAAAAGGAGAAGGAGAAGGAGGAGTAAAAGAAGGAGGAGGAGAAGGAGGAAAAGAAGAAGAAGAAGAAAAAGAAGAAGAAGAAGAAGAAGAAGAAGAAGAAGAAGAAGAAGAAGAAGAAGAAGAAGAAGAAGAAGAAGAAGAAGAAGAAGAAGAAGAAGAAGAAGAAGAAGAAGAAGAAGAAGAAGAAAAAGACAATGAAGAAGAAGAAGAAGAAGAAGAAGAAGAAGAAGAAGAAGAAGAAGAAGAAGAAGAAGAAGAAGAAGAAGAAGAAGAAGAAGAAGAAGAAGAAAAAGACAAGAAAAAGAAGAAGAAGAAGAAAAGAAGAAGAAGAAGAAGAAGAAGAAGAAGAAGAAGAAGAAGAAGAAGAAGAAGAAGAAGAAGAAGAAGAAGAAGAAGAAGAAGAAGAAGAAGAAGAAGAAGAAGAAGAAGAAGAAGAAGGAGGAGGAGGAGGAGGAGAAAAAGAACAAGCTGTAACATTTTTTTTTCTTTGTGTGTGGATAAGAGTAAAAAGATGATACAAAACAGTTAACAGATAACAGGTTTAGTTTTATACATCGGATTAACATCATGGCACAACGGTAGTAACCCATAAGTGCTCCATTCTACTACTAACTCAAGCGCGAGTCCAAAGAATCTCAGCGCAGTGCATAAACTCCGTAGCACCTTTGAGTATTCTGAAATGCTTTGAGAAGATTTTTTACTAAAAGTTTTGCCCACGCAGCGTCGTTAGGCTAATTTTTTCGATTACCAACTGCCAAGGGATTTTTTTAATGTGCGCAACAATACACACGGGTGTCTGATCTTACCACCCAGAGACCAGGGGAAATTACTAGAAGACCACGTGAAAAAACATAACAGTCATCCCCGGGACCTGAACACAGTACCTCCAGTATTCAAGGTGCTTTGAGTCCCAGCCATCTAGTTTAGCCCCAATCCACGCCACGTGTAGCGGCGTGGGAGATACTCCCAGCAGTGGCGGTAGTCCCTGGAAGTGCGCAATTTAAGTCGCCGGAAGTCCACAATTTACATGTGACTGAGGCCCTGTTTTTGTGACCGCCATAATATGTGGCCGTTATTCTGAGGATAGCCAAGTCTTCAGAATATCTTCTTTATCCGGTTTCAGTAGCTATTGTTTTGTCAAGGCTCTGAGATAACTCATTGATAGACTTCTTGTCTCACACTCCAGTCAGATAACTGACCCAATGGTTACTTTCTTTCTTTCTGTCATTTTTACTCATTAAGAATTAGAGAATCTTACTGAACAATTCTAGGCTAGAAAGAGTTAACCAGTTTGCCCTAGTAATGCTTTCATTGTCCATGACCAGTGGGAATTCCCCCCAAAATCCTTTTGGAAAAAATCTACAGGGAACTATACACATATTTACCAATATTTTTTATTTACTTTTTTTTCTCCTCTTCCCTCTAAACAATTGCTCATGATATAACGAGATGAAAGAATAAGCTACTAGCCTTATGTGACATGGCAGTCAACATGGTGTAGCTCATCTTGAGCTCGAAGGTTATTGGTTCACATCCTCATCTCGTTCAATTTTTTTCAGAAATGACCTTAGCCTCCAGGTCGACTTAGCCTAAAATGGGTACCAGGTACAACCCGGGGAAGTAAAGGCAGCTTTGTCTACAAAATATAGGTCTAAAACTATATGCCCAGTATACCTAATAGCATGGAAAAAGAATCGTTACTTTTACTTTACTTATGTGGTGTATAACGGCAGTAAAGGATAAAGATTATTCTCAAACCTACCTTCATAATCTATCAAACCATCTCCATTCAGGTCAGCCAGCTGGAACATCTCTTTAACATCCTGCTCCTCCAGGTTCTCTCCCAGCCTCTTCATGATGTACCTCAACTCATGCTGGTCTATGTACCCATTGCCATCCATGTCGAACACCTATGGTAGCAACATTCAGGAAATCATTTTAAAACACGAAACATCACCTAAAAATCAGAAATACAACAGATCTTATCTACATGCTTCTATACCAATAGGTTTAATTGGTTTATGGGAAAATGGATATTTAATTAAAAGGACAACTCAAGCAACTGCACCAAAAAATTAAAAGATTTTAATTTGATGATTAAAAATACATTATAAGTCAAAAGAAATTATGAAGCAAAAGCAATCTAAAAGAGGTTTTAAATGGTTTACTAAACATTACATATAATTTAAAAGCTCCAATCAAACAACAATATCAATAATCAAAAGATTGTAACTGCATGAGTGGATTCAGCAAAAAAAAATTCAGAACTGTGACTACTTCTGCCATACAGTTTTGCACTGCCCACCTTCCACCACTTTCCTTTGACCCAAATGGCATTTTTAAAGCCAAGCTGACATCAGAGTTTTCCCATATGCCTCATTGATACAGGTCATGGGGTCATAGCATGAGTCACCAAATGCATGTTTTTTTATGTGTGTCTGGGGGAATTTACTCTATTTAATGCTTCACCGTGTTCATGTTTACTGATTACTCCTTTTGCATACCTGTATGTATTTAGGAAAAAGGTAGATAAAAATACTTTTAACTAATTAAGTAGTGACCTGTGTAAAATTGCAGTCTTTTCTTTTTAAGTTTACAGATATTTTTCGAAACTTCTATTGTGCTCATAACCTTTTTCATTTTTTTTTTTAGTGTTCCCGGGGCAAAAGGGTTTATTGAAAGCAAACAATAGTAACAGTTCACTCAGTCAAGCACACTGTAAATGGGATACATATAGACAAAACATGGTAACAAAATAATTTGGAAGTTGCCACACTGAAACCCACATTGTGATAAAAATACAGGAAGACTAAAGAAAATCATAAAGAGATCAGAGTCAGAGAGAGAGATGAAGAACAGGGAATATATCATTTTCTATATTCTGCTTCATGAATTCTAAAAGAAAAAAAAAATGGATGTGTGCCATCTCCACAGATCTCTATCACTGAGACATAGGGTAACCTTTGACATCAACTTGCTTTAAAAGCCATTGTGGTCATAACGAAACCCCTCTCAATGCTATATTTAGTTTATATATTCATATCCAGCCTTCCTAAACACTAAGCAGGCACATACAGAAACAATGAAATGTGACTGTTTTTCAAAAACAGGTGACTACAAGAATGATGATATATCGGCATTTACAAAGCTGGGTAAAAATCAAAACTGGAAGTGACTAAATTCAGCCTTCTGGGGCTGAGATGGTTAAGAAATATGGCTTGAATTAAGGGTTTGCGCTCCAACAGGATCTCTGTCATGCAGTGGTCAAGCCACCTGCCTCATGCTCTGAAGGCTGTGGGTTCGTTCAAGGACATACCATTCAGTTCTCTGGTGCAGTTTCTAGTAAGATCATCATTGGAGCTTCAGAGTTCATACCTTGTGCAATACTCTCAGCTGGCAGCTGTGGAGAGAAAGCTAAATATGAAAGAACCTAGTGCAGTGGAGCTGATCTGCTGGACTTCTAGTTTCAGTGGGGTGTACACTTCATAGGTTCCAGGTACTTAGCATCCTTTGGATATTTTCTCCAGGTATGCTGGTGTGTTGGGAAATGAGAAGGCAGAAAGACTAGCCAGTTCTGCACGACTTGGTGGTGAACTAATGTATGACAAGCTGGATGTTGTGAAGGTCCTTTTGGAGCGAGTGAACAGTGTGGAGGCACAGATAGATCATTACGGTCTGAGGGGAATGACACTGTGAGCAGATATCAGGGGATCTAGCTGACGCTCAACGCTCAAGGAAAAGGCGAGATGGATATGTAATCAGACAGTTACTGGTGCCATCGGAATTGGAACTCTTCACTTGCTGCTGAAGATGGGGATGGAGAGCTTATGGGAGTTTCCCGAGTGCTATGATGTTGATTCTTAATTCAACATTCAACATTTTTGGGGATACAAAGTAGAAAATGAGTTTTATATTATATGCAAACATGTTGAGACTCAAACCTTGAAGGTTTCTTTTGTTTTGTCTTCCGTGACTGTTGAATTCTCTGCCAATGACTCTATGCCGTGTGTGGACCATCTCTTCATGAGGACCAGGAACTCATCATACTCTACGTAGCCATTCTCTGTAGAAGGGAGGGTTAAAGTAATCAATGTTAATACATAACTCAAAGAGTCATGTGTAGCCATTCTCTGTAGAAGGGAGGGTTAAAGTAATCAATGTTAATACATAACTCAAAGAGTCATCTGATTATAGATGACTCAACCACACAACCTCTCTGATCACTGATTTAAGATTCAACATCATAGCATACTAAGCACACCCTTAGATACTTAATCTTTCACTGTCTCAAAGTGTAGATGCCACAGAACCTCCAGCACTCAAGGTGTAGATGCCACAGTACCTCCAGCACTCAAAGTGTAGATGCCACAGTACCTCCAGCACTCAAGGTGCTGTGAGTCCCAGTCATCTAGTTTAGCCCCAATCCATGCCACGTGTAGCAGCATGGGAGATACTCCTAGCAGTAGCGGTAGTCGCCGGACGTGTGCAATTCAAGTCGCCGGAAGTCCGCAGTTTACGTGTGACTGAGGCCCTGTTAGGGTGTTTTTGTGGCCGCCATAATATGTGGCCATTATTCGGAGGATAGCCAAGTCTTCAGATTATCTCTTTTATCCGGTTACAGTAGTTACTGTTTTGTCAAGGCTCTGAGATAACTCATTTACAGAGCAACAAAGTCCCATTAACTCTTTCTGCACTAAAAATATCATTATACATCATTATATTACACCATACATTGCATTTTTTTCTTTTAACTGCTTGTCTCACACTCAAGTCAGATAACTGATCCAATGGTTTCTTTCTTTCTTTCTTTCTGTCATTTTAGCTCATTAAGACTTAGAGAATTTTGCTGAACAATTCTAGGCTAGAAAGAGTTAATCAGTTTGCCCTAGTAATGCTTTCATTGTCCATGACCAGTGGAAATTCCCCCAAAAATCTTTTTGGAAAAAATCTACAGGGAACTTTACATTTTTTAACCAATATTTTGTATTTACTTTTCTTTTTCACATGGAGATTTATAAAGATGTACAAATGGAGTAATCAACAAACAGACTTAAGCATTGAAAGAAATGAATCAGGTGACACATGTCATGAACTATTAATAAGGCATCAGTAAAATAAAATTTGACATCACATCAACTTGGATATATATATATATATATATATATATACATACATACATCCCATGCTATAATTGTGGAAGACTTCTTAACGCTGGTGGGTCTTGCTAGTCACACTGGGCTATTACCATGGGCTATGAAACCAATGCCTCATCATAGAACAGCATAACACTATCATCTAGAAAGATGGAAGGGTGCCAATAAATCAATATATATATATATATATATATATATATATATATATATATATATATATATATAATATATATATATATATATATATATATATATGTATGTATGTATGTATGTATGTATGTATGTATGTATGTATGTATATATATATATATGTGTGTGTGTGTGTGTGTGTGTGTACAGAGAGAGCGAGAGGGAGGGAGGGAGGAAGGGGAGAGAGAAATTGAGGGAGGAGAGAGACAGTGAGAGAGAGAGATATCCCTACCCTGCACAGGTGCAAAAACAACCAATGGCATTAACTATATGTTTTATAAACAGGTCATCATACAAATGCTGGTTAAGCCAGCACTCTCAGGGAATTGAAACATACTGGATGTAATGGGTTTGAAGCTTGCTGGGGTGAAAGGGTTAAACTAACAACTACTTGGTACTGTAGCCATAGTCTCATATTCACTATGAGATATCACACTTTAAAAACATTCACCCTTAGATCATCAGCTGTTGATTAACTCACCATTTGTGTCTGCATGTTTAATCATGTCTTCAATCTCAGCATGCGTGTACTCATGTCCTAGTGTACGCAGTACACAACCAAGTTCATCACAGGAGATTTTCCCATCCTTATTTTTGTCAAACAAATCAAAAGCTTGTTTCATTTCTGCAGACCAGAAAGGAAGTAATACATTATTAAACTTTTTTGTTCAGTCCCAGAAGTTCAATGAATAAGAATTAATGTGAAATGTATGAAATTGTTTGTGAACACTAAATCTTCTTCTTCTTCTTCTTGGTGTTTACCAGCTGTTAACTTTGGCAGAAGTGCTGGTTGTTCATCCACCTCTGGACTTGAGACTTGTTTAGAACCTGAGTGTTGCATGCACATCCGTTTTACACATCTGACTTGTTTGTATGCAAAATGTTGGTTCCTTGCCTCTCTCAGCCAGATGCGTCCTGACTTCTAAGGAAATCCCCAATTAATTAACTCCTACAACATGCTTGCTGGCGAGGCTGTGTGTCTTTTTTCCTCACAACGGGGTCCTGGAACATACATAGGGATAACTCCAAAAATTATTTTGTTTATATACTTCAGACAGACAGTTCTTCCATGAAAAGCCCATTTCTGTGGTCGTCTAACTTCTTATAACAGAATTTTCAGCTTCAAAGCTCATGCTTACACACAAGAGTGCCTCAAAGCCTGCAGAATACAGCATATGTCTTCCTTACAGTGTGGCCACAATTTTCTCCAGACCGAGTACATGGTCACTGTAAGTAAGTCACTTGCGCCAAAGTTTTACGAAGGATGCTAAAAACGCTGAAAGACATTGAAGGGATTTCTTCCAACAATCACCAAGTCTTTATAACTGTATGCCAGAGGTATCTGTAAAACACATTTTCAACAAAACTTTGGCGTAGAGTTTCTTAAAGTTCGCAACGACCTGCTGGCTCCTGGGCTAAATAGAGGTTTTAGGGGGTAGGAACGTGACTGTTGTAAAGTCAAATTTTCTCATCAGCTCGTCTACCAAACTTGTAGGATAAGCTGAAGCAAAATCTATTAAATTCATGAAAATGCAAAATATGGTCAAGCATCTGCAAAACTTTTGCTGCAGTCGCATTTGGTCGCAAAGTACATGGTTTCAGGATGTCTGCTCATGGACCAAGTTTCTGATCACAAACCCAAATGATTTTCCCTGAAAAATCAGTTCAGAAACGGAACTGTTTCAGAAGGGAAGCACAGAGACTCCATAGTAGTATAATGAGTTCTACATGTAACATTCGAGGGTTCAGGTTTTGGCATAGCCGGCTTCTTTTTTCCCATCAGCTCGACCCAGCCTTAAAGGGGTGAAAGGTTTAAAACCCTGGGAAGTAAAAGTGCTGATTGGTCTATAAACCTATAGGTCTAGTAATTCTACTCGCCCGGTATGCCTGAAAGCATGGAAAAAAGGTTATTTACTTTTTCTTTACATGTAACACAGACATCAATTATGTGAGTTAGGGGCTGTCTACACAAAGACAACAACGCTGGAGGGGAACGTCAAGAAGCCTAGACCTTGGGTACTTATAAAATAATACTCAGTTTTTAAAAAAAATGTACAATAACAATAAAAATATGCTGAACAGCAAATAAATATATTAACATATTTGAAGTATTCTGAAACTGAATAAACAGTCTACAATAAAGAGAACTTCTAAACATGGGGTGGTCCTTGAAAATTTGGCAGATGTTCCCCAGTGTGTGTAGGTGTGTTTGTGTGTGTGTGTGTGTGTGTGGGTGTGTGTGTTTGTGTGTGTGGGTGTGTGTGTTTGTGGGTGTGTGGGTGTGTGTGGGTGTGTTTGTGTGTGTGGGTGTGTGTTTGTGTGTGTGTGGGTGTGTGTGGGTGTGTTTGTGTGTGTGTTTGTGTGTGTGTGTGGGTGTGGGTGTGGGTGTAAAATAGGGGAGTGGGTGCTCAAAGTGCCAGGGCAAAAGTAACAGCCTTGTATAAATGCTCAAAAATAATATTAACAACAACAATAATATGATGAACTGTAAACAAATTAAATAACATATTTTGAATAATTTGAAATGAAAAAACAAGGACTTACAAAAGAACTATACAATCGGGGAGAGAGGGAAGGACTTGGTCACAAATTTTGCAGAGGATCCCCAGTGGGAATTTGAGGAGTGGGGGAGACAGAGAGAGAGGGAGTGGGGGGGGGGGGGAGGTGTCACCTCAAGGCGCCCCTTTAGCCTGCAGGTTCAAGCGCCTCTGGTGTAAACAGATGATCAGCATACTTTTGTCTAGCTGACATTTGCTTTCTGGGATTGCTTGGATAAAAATATCTTTTCCTAGGTTCTGCTAAATAGGCTGACATTTATGTGGATAGGTTCAGTCAGAGGTAGAGTGGGCGGGGGGGGGGGGGGGGGTGCGGATACAAGAGGGAGGGGAGGGATAGAAGGTCAAATCAAGAGTTAAAGAGATGGGAGTGATAGAGACAAGATCAACAGAGGGAGGGAAGACGATGAGACAGGTAGAGACTGAAAGATAAAGACAATATAAGAAAGAATTTCTTCTTCTGTGTTCTCGTTCCCCGGTGTAAACCCGGACGGAAAATTCTAGTAGTTCGTCCACCTCTGGACTTAAGTCTTGTTCCAGAACTTGAGTGCTGCATGTGCATCCGTTTTACATATCTGGCCTATTTATATGCAGGCTGTTGGTTCCTTGCCTTTTTGGCAGATGCACTTCGAAGGAAACCCCCCTCCCCAATTAGTCGGCTCTTACGACATGCTTGTTGGGTTGAAAGCAGGTGTATTACTTTTTTCCCCCACAGCAGGGAACTGGTTCCCACATAAGAAAGACAGCGTTTAAAGGGGGGGGGGGGGGGGAGAAAGAAAGAGAGAAAGCAACACAAATAGTGACGAAAAGCACACGCAAAGAGCTAGAGTGAGAGAAGGCGGAGGGAAAAAAATAGGGGGGGGGGAGGGGGGCAGGTGCAGAACAAGGGGAGCCAGTAACGATAGAGACAAACAATGGAGAAGTCTATGAAACAAATAAAGTGACAGAAGGTTGTGAGAGGCTGTACAAGAAAGAAAGAGAGAGATAGGGAGAGAGAGATAGGAGAGAGAGAGAGAGAGAGAGAGAGGGAGAGAGAAGGGAGAGAGAGAGAGAAAAAGAGAGAGATAGGGAGAGAGAGATAGGGAGAGAGAGAGAAAGAGAGAGAGATAGGGAGAGATAGAGATAGGGAGAGAGAGATAGGGAGAGCGAGAGAGAAAGAGAGAGAGATAGGGAGAAAGAGAGAAAGAGAGAGAGATAGGGAGAGAAAGAGAGAGAAAGAGAGAGAGAGAAAGAGAGAGAGAGAGAGAGAGAGAGAGAGAGAGAGAGAGAGAGAGAGAGAGAGAGAGAACGAACGAACAAACGAACTTTATTTTCAAACGAACGAACGAACGAACAAACTTTATTTTTAAAGGGTCACAAATTGGGCACGCAGGCCCGTCTTACATTCGGCCCTTCCCGTCAACCATCTTTCGCACAGCAGTTGTGTTTTACTAAAAAAGCATGTTATGATCATATGATGTTATGCATATTATGAATATTATAAAAGAACACAAAAGCATGAGTTGTAACGTGCATGCAAAAACCCGCGCGTGCATACATACACCCACATACACACAAGAGAGAAAGAGAGAGAGAGATAGGGAGAGAGAGAGAAAGAGAGAGAGAAAGAGAGAGAAAGAGAGAGAAAGAGAAAGAGAGAAAGAGAGAGATACGGAGAGACAGAGAATGGAAAAGAGATGCCGAAGGGAGCGAGAGAGAGAAAGAGCCAGAAGGGTTTAGAGACTCAAAGAGAGAGATACGGGAAAAAAAAAAGAGAGAGAGATAGGGAGAGAGAGAGAGAGATAGGGAGAGAGAGAGAGAGAGAGAGAAAAGAGAGAGAGAGAAAGAGAAAGAGATAGAGAGAAAAAGAGAGAGAGAGAGAGAAATAGAGAGAGACAGTAGACAAAAAATGAAAGCGAAAATTATGATTAGACAGATAACAACGACTTCTAAGAAAGAGATGGACATTACAGACATTACAGACACAATACAGACAATATAGAGGAGCACACAATACAGACAATACAGCGTTGCACACAATACAGACAATATAGAAGGACACGCAATACAGACAATATGGAGGAGCACACAATACAGACAATATGGAGGGGCACACAATACAGACAATATGGAGGGGCACACAATACAGACAATATGGAGGGGCACACAATACAGACAATAAAGAAGGGCACACAATACAGACAATATAGAGGGGTACACAATACAGACAATATGGAAGGGCACACAATACAGACAATATGGCAGGGCACACAATACAGACAATATAGAGGGGCACACAATACAGACAATATGGAGGGGCACACGATACAGACAATAAAGAAGGGCACACAATACAGACAATATAGAGGGACACAATGCAGACAATATAGAGGGGCACACAATACAGACAATAAGGAGGGGCACACAATACAGACAATATGGAGGGGCACACAATACAGACAATATGGAGTAGCACTCAATACAGACAATAAAGAAGGGCACACAATACAGACAATAAAGAAGGGCACACAATACAGACAATAAAGAAGGGCACACAATACAGACAATATGGAGGGGCACACAATGCAGACAATAAAGAAGGGCACACAATACAGACAATATAGAGGGGCACACAATACAAACAATATAGAGGGGCACACAATACAGACAATATGGAGGGGCACACAATACAGACAATGTGGAGGGGCACACAATACAGACAATAAAGAAGGGCACACAATACAGACAATATAGAGGGGCACACAATACAGACAATATGGAGGGGCACACAATACAGACAATATAGATGAGCACACAATACAGACAATATAGAGGGGCACACAATACAGACAATATAGAGGGGCACACAATACAGACAATATAGAGGGGCACACAATACAGACAATATAGAGGGGCACACAATACAGACAATATAGAGGGGCACACAATATAGAGGGACACACAATACAGACAATATAGAGGGGCACACAATACAGACAATATGGAGGGGCAAACAATACAGACAATATGGAGGGGCAAACAATACAGACAATATAGAGGGGCACACAATACAGACAATATAGAGGGGCAC